TATATATATATAGTGTGTGTGTGTGTGTACATCATTAATCTCTTTCCATTATGAGACACAGTAAGTCCAATACAATTTAGTACGAAGCGTTTTCTTTACACGAAATTGATTTTCATTGTACATAAAGCGGGCTCATCTATTCCGAGCACTCGTGTAAACCGCGGCGATGACAGACACGCCATGAAACAGCGATAAAACCCCGGCAACTATTTCCCAGAAAAGCCTCCTCGTAAAGCGCTGGATTCGAATGACTTGACATCACATCGTTTATACACCAATAATGTTGGGAGCTGTCTGGAGTGGATTGGCAGAGACGCGCTTCAGTCTGCCATTGTTTGGGCCATTGTTCCGCGCACTGTAATGTGGCCTGACAAGCTACATGACTACTGATGATATTTAGACTTATATTTCTTACTCTTCAGTAATATGTATTCCCTTCTAGCGTACATGTGTATTCAAGGGACTTATGGGGAAAATGTTTTCCCCATAAGCTCCTTTGTGTATTGTATAATTTATTCCTTAATAGCAGGATTTTGTATTTTACTTTATATTGTAATTTACATATTCCTTTTGTGTCACGTCACTTATACATTGAAAATGAAATGTTTAACAAGTTACTAAAACAATACACATAAATGCAACATCTATGATGAACGTGAGTCCGACCCCCTCCCCCATGGAAGAAAGCATAAAAAACACGGAACACTAAAAACGTTTTGTCGCTATGATGAATTCCCGTGTGGCTAACATGATATTATAAGAGCTTAGCAAATTACCACGTAGAATTGTTACTCATTCTCTACTGCTTATGCCGTGCACGAAATGTCCACCCTGATGGATATGGTTGTTGCATTTGAGACTGTAGATCGTCAGAAGGGTCATTGGGTTGATAAATATTGGAATTGGCCATCGAGAAATGGGTCAATGGTCCTCTTAAGACTTAAATCCACGCACTTCGGGGTAATGAATGAGGCCGTGAAGGAATTCGCAAATGGGGCTCCCTGAAGTCCAAAGCGAGAGAAATCGCCCGTTTCTGGGATTCGTCTTCTCAGGTTGTTATTGTGTATGGGGAAGAAGTCGCCCGTCTTTTGCTGAGGTCACATTTCCAAACCGGGGCCCGGCCGGGCTGTTTCGATCGACGAAAAATCAGCAATTTGTATAAAGAATATACACAAATAGTTCCCATTGTTATTTTTTTGTGATTTGTTGTCTTTTATACCATACTCTTCGTTCCATAAGACTGCCCGGCCGGGCCCAGGTTTGGAAATGTGACCTCACTATTTCTGAGGTGCTGGCAAGCGTGCGTGCACACGGAGTGTTTCGTCTCTAATGGTTTATCAATCCTTCAAACGATTCAAAGATCCGGATCTATGACACTAGTATGCACTTTGTACCTTGATGCTCTCCAAAGAGAGGTTTCGGTCGGGGGTTATTTTGTTGTTGCTGTTTTAGTTGTATTTTTCTTGAGGTATTTCCTATGACTATATGTTCGTAGTAGCTGTAGTCTGTTTCTTTTTTTTTGTTTGTTTATTTGTTTGGTCGCCGTAATTTAGAAGAAAGGGACAGAAATCGCGGTCACTATACTTCGCTTGGAGAGCAGTCCTTCCCAAAATTTGCTTTCTACATCAAGCCACATTCACAAAATTCTAAGTCGCAACTTCTCGAGTCATACAGCTAGCCAACAATTTGGTGGACGCAAAGAGGCATTAGCCATAGAGGTAAGCTACTAAGTACTTTGTTCTTGGACGGATCATTACGTAAAGTGACATCCGAACGAACATCTGCCTGCTGAAGCTTCGGAACGCCTGCCTGGCGTTTAGCTACAATGTGGGGTATCAGGTTACCCATCCGTCTGTTATGTGAGTTATCAGGTTACCGATCCGTCTGTTCTGTGAGGTATCAGGTTACCGATCCGTCTGTTATGTGAGGTATCAGGTTACCGATCCGTCTGTTATGTGAGGTATCAGGTTACCGATCCGTCTGTTCCTGGAACCCCCAGATGTTCGGGCATGATTACGCGTAAGGGCGTTTAGCTGGACCGGTCCTTTACAGCCGGTATAGCCGCCATTCGGCGTAACAACACAGCTTTACAGAAAAGCAACAGCAAAGGAATCAATTTGAACGACCTGTCACACCTAGCAAATGCACATCTATCTCTGAACGTTGTTTAAAGATATCCAGTGAGGAATCCATATATCCCCTCATCATGTCCCTTTGGACAGTAGAATTGCAATCTTATATATTCGTCAGTGGTCCTACAGGATGGTCGATACAATGTCTTGTTTAATTAACAAGGAAACCGAGCCAATGACGGGAGGTACGGCTCTACTTTCTGGACAGCTGCTACAAGCACGAGGTCAACCAATAACACAAAAGTTTAGACTCCATGTACATGTATCACATCATCATGTCCCTGTGGACAGCAGTATTACAATGCCCACAACCGTGAACATTTCCACTCTCCACTCTGGTCGATATCGATACAATGCCTTGTTAAACAAGGAAACCGTGACCATGACTGGAGGTGCTAAACTTTAATACGACCCCTGGGGGTGTAGCCATAGGACAGTAAGGTTGTTTTGAAATGTCTTGCAATGTTTTGTAATATTTTATGTTATTGCAATGTCTTGTCTTGTCAGCAGGGCAAGCCTTTGTAATAGCAACAGGCTAGTTGGGCTGCCCTAGCAGTGTGTGTGTGTGTGTTGAACAGCCAAATACTGCCAAGTTATTAATATTAAGCCATGATGTTGTTCCATCTCCAGGACCGCCGGTGGACATCGACGTGGGTTTTGCGGTACAAAGCATCGATCAGGTTTCCGAGATCAACATGGTGAGTAAAATAAAGCATTCTGCAGTTCCCTGTAACAAGTTTTGCTTTTATTTATTGATCTTAAAAACGGTTGAGTGGTTCCGCGTCTTGTGATGCTACTTAGTGCTACCTCGCTCGTCTGTGGCCCAAATCGGACTGCCTTGGATGGACGTTTTTGAACCTCGTTATAGCACAATAAGGATCAATAACATGACTTTATGGCTGAGGCACATTTTCAAGGGGGCACAAAAAGTGTGTGGCAGATCTATACTCCGGTCAAATTCTGGGGAACACAAGACAAGACTGCAGTCCCGATGTCAAACCGGATGTCCTGTCGAGTAGTTTACGGGCTGTTCACGCCTTTGAGTGGCCCAGTAGGACTCCTAGCGGCTTCCGGGAAATTTGGAGCTCGGGCGGACCATTCTAAGGTTACGCTGAGGTCACATTTCCAATGAAAGATATATGAAAGACAACAAAGCACAAAAATGAAAGACAAAAAAGCACAAAAAAAGTTGAAAAAATATTTGCGTTCATCATTTATATAAATTGATGATTTTTCGTTAGTCGAAACATCCCGACCGGCCCCGGTTTTGAAATGTGACCTCAACATTAAAGGGGTAGATTTCTTTTTGCAAATACTCTTTATTTCCCTGATTTCCTTATGCCCAGGAGTACACCATGACTATGTTGTTTAGACAAAGCTGCAGTCCATTTTCGACCCTGATGTCCTATCCGATAGTTTACGGGCTGTTCTCATATTTGAAGGCCCTAGTAGGACTTCTCGTTAATGCTCTTTATTTCCCTGATCCCCCATGCCCAGGAGTACACCATGACTATGATGCTGAGTCAGAGCTGGATCGACCCCCGCCTGGCCTTCAACTCAAGCTCCGTGTCGGAGATCCCACTGGCCGGCGCCACAGGTTAGGATGTTTTGTTTGTTTGTTTGTTTGTTTATGTTTACCGTCGCAGAACGTTTGGCTCAGTTTATTCTTCTTCTCGAAACAAATAAAGCCAATGACCTGGACTAGACGTCTGTCACCATTGTAACATCGTGCTGTAGCAACACCTCGTTAGTAACGGCAGATTTCTTAAGTGGGGTCGTATGGTGAACGGCAGAGTGCTCGACTCGGAACAAAGAGCTCCCGGGTTTGAGTCCTGGCATGCTACCGATCTTGTGCCCTTGGGAAAGGCACTTTACACGACTTTACCCACTTGAGTACAAATGAGTATTGTCTGTCCGGTATTTGTTTCTATGTGTGGGACACAACACCAGCAACAGCTGCCTTTGTCCCACGTGTATTGCACAGTTGCAATTTCAATAAATCAAATTTCTTCTCAGATTATCATGGACGTTCATCTGTGCTGGTAATAATAAAGTAAAACGTTGAACTTTATTCCAACACACAGTTTACAGAGAAATCAAATTTTCAGCGACACTGTCGCCTTCATCAAGATAATTAATAACTTCACAACGTGATCTCGCGAGAGTTACGGTTTACAAACACGTGACCTTATTCACACGACACTTTACTGATACGTGACGTAAGCAATGAAGGCGACAGTGGTCGCTGAAAATTTGATCTCTGTAAACTGTGTGTTGGAATAAAGTTCAATGTTTTACTACAAATTTCTTCTCTTTTCGTCCCCAGCGGAGAAGATTTGGATTCCTGACACTTTCATCCTGAATGATAAGAAGTCCTTTAAGCACACCGTGACTGCCCACAACAGGCTGTTGAGACTGTCCTCCGATGGAAAAGTTCTGTATAACGTTAGGTAAGTCTTCTACAAAATTAGATAAGCCCTGTATAACCCGGTATACATGTATAACGTTACGTATCTTGCGCATAACGTAAGGTAAGTCCTGTATAAAGTTAGGTACGTTCTGTCTAATACTAGGGAAGTCCTGCACAACGTTAGATAGGCCCTGTATAACCATAGATAAGTCGTGTATAACGCTATGTAACTATTGTATAACGCTAGTTTAGTATTTATAACGCTAAGTTAGTATTGTATAACGCTAGGTAAATCCTGTGCAAAGCTAGGTAAGAACTGTATAACACTGTACACATGTATAATGTTACGTACGTCGTGTATAACGTTATTGTTCTGTATAACGCTAGGTAAGTCCTGTATAAGTTTTTAGGTACGTTTTGTACTTTTTTGTATAACGTTAGGTAAGCTATGTAAGACGTTAGGTGTGTCAGGTAGACACGTACGTCAGATACGTTCTTACAGTTTGAAAACCATCAGTAGTCGCCAGAGAAATTTAAAAAGAAAGACCAAGTAGGATCAAATGTCTCGAATACCACCTCTTCGTTTTTGTCCTATATAATACACGACTCTTCGAATCTCTTATCAGATTTACAGGGAACCTCGATTCTTATATTCTACCCTATTCTACCCTAAGAAAATCTAAGCCATACATTGACATTTGACAGTTTTGTTCTTCATGGAATTGCGTTT